TCTCGGCACGCGTACAACAGCAAGGGCGGCTACAACAAGGCGATTGAGCTGTACGAGAAGGCGCTCGCCATCAGAGTGGAGACGCTGGGCGAGAAGCACCCGAGCACATCAAGCACGTACAACAACCTCGGCAACGTCCTACAAGAAAAAGGGCCAGTACAACAAGGCCATCCAGCTGTATGAGAAGGCGCTCGCCATCAAGGTGGAGGCGTTGGGTGAGAAGCACCCGAGTACAGCACAGACGTACAACAACCTCGGCAGCGCCTACTACAGCAAGGGCGAGTACGACAGGGCGATTGAGCAGTACGAGAAGGCCCTCGCCATCAGGGTGGAGACGCTGGGCGAGAAGCACCCGAGCACAGCGACCACCTACAACAACCTCGGCATCGCCTACGCCAGCAAGGGCGAGCATGACAAGGCCATTGCTTACCATGAGAAAGCCCTCGCCATAAGGGTGGAGACGTTGGGCGAGAAGCACCCGAGCACAGCCGACACGTACAACAACCTCGGCAACGCGTACAACAGCAAGGGCGGCTACAACAAGGCGATTGAGCTGTACGAGAAGGCGCTCGCCATCAGAGTGGAGACGCTGGGCGAGAAGCACCCGAGCACATCAAGCACGTACAACAACCTCGGCAACGCCTACAAGAAAAAGGGCCAGTACAACAAGGCCATCCAGCTGTATGAGAAGGCGCTCGCCATCAAGGTGGAGGCGTTGGGTGAGAAGCACCCGAGTACAGCACAGACGTACAACAACCTCGGCAGCGCCTACTACAGCAAGGGCGAGTACGACAGGGCGATTGAGCAGTACGAGAAGGCCCTCGCCATCAGGGTGGAGACGCTGGGCGAGAAGCACCCGAGCACAGCGACCACCTACAACAATCTCGGCAACGCCTACGATGACAAGGGCGAGCACGACAGAGCGATTGCGTTTTATGAGAAGGCCCTCGCCATCACGGTGGAGACGCTGGGCGAGAAGCACCCGAGCACAGCTGCGTCCTATGGCAGCTTGGGCGTCGCCTACAAGCACAAGGGCGAGTACGACAAGGCGATTGAGCTGTACGAGAAGGCCCTCGCCATCAAGGTGGAGATGCTGGGGGAGAAGCACCCCAGCACAGCTGAGACATACTTCAACATCGGCCTGCTGCACGACGACCGCGGCGACAAGGAGCAGGCCTGCGCCTATGTCCAACATGCACTCGACATTTTCACACCCACGCTTGGGCCAGACCACCCAAACACCCGCAAGGCGGCGCGCAATCTGGGGCGCATTCGCAGTGCTGATGTGAAGGTTCAAGGTGCACGCACTGGCGGCGCCCTGGGCGAGGAAGAGAACGAGCAGAAGCAGCAAGAAGGAAGCGGCGGTGACGACAACATGACCAGCCAGGACTGGGCTGTGCTTGTGCTTTGTTGTCCATGTCTTGTTGCTGCTTTGCCTTTCCTCTGCGTCTACTCCTGCGTGAAGAGCGTGTGTCAGAAGTGAGGGTTTGCGTGTGTTGTCGTTCTTTCCTTCACATACATGCTTTCCCCTTGCTTTGACTTGCTTGACGTTGCTTGTTTGACACTTCAGTAAACTCTTCACGCAATCCATCCGGCTGACAAGCAACGAGCATACAACCTACCACACCACACGTCAACCAAACAGGTCCCCTTTCACTCCCCCGTCCACGCCCACAACGCTCGCCTTGCGCATCAGGTGCGGCTGGTGGAAAAGTAGTTCCATCAGCACGTTAGAGTGCGGCGGCATCGGCAGCGGGTTCGGCCGCTCAGCGTGCACGGCGCCCAGCAGCCTCGTCGGAGGGCTGGGTCGCCAGCCTGTACTCGCTGTCCGTCCACGACCGTCCGGAACAGCACGTCGTTGCTGCAGGCCCACGCCAATCGGGGATGCGCCCAACTCTCTTGCTGCACCTCCGCTACCGTTAATTCCTCCTCCAGGTTCAGGTCGCCCGTCCCTAGCGACAGGTTCCACCATCCCAAAGGGCTGCAGCGACATCAGGAACGTGAAGAGGTCCGCGTCCCGGCAGCGTGCTTTCGCAATCTTGTCTCCGCGTCAGTCTTGCTGCGCACAGTGCCCGCGAACACGACGGCAATCCCCGCCAGCAGCTGCAGCTTCGTCTCGAACGGTGCCTGCCGCGTCTTCTCGTTGACGACCACGTGCGTGTCCTTGCCCACCTCGCGCGCGCGCGTGTACTCAGGTGAGAAGTTGGAGCACACCTCCCGCGTGTGGGGCGCACCCGTCCACCTGCGCAAACCACAATCGTGTTGAGGGTGTTGTTGTGCTGGAACGTGCGCTTGGGGTCTCGGCGGCCTCCACACGTGCCTGCCAGGGTCGGCGAGCGACCTGAACCCAACCGGCCGTCGGCGGCGGCGGCTCGATGGTGAGCCCACCATCCCCGTTCACGCATCCCGACAGACGTGCTTGCTCTTGGTAGCTGCTGGAGCTGGCGGTGGGGGGAGGAAACGACGCCACGACAGACGGACAAATGACTGGGCGTGGATGTGGAGACGTTGTGGCAACGGAGCATGCTGGCTGAACGCACTTGTCGACATAGATGAGGTGTAATACCTGCAGAACCGAGGAGAGATGGTCGCCTGTTGGACAGGCGAGGAGACGGGTGAGTGGTGGATGAGGAGGAGCACGACTAGTCCACACGGGACCTCAGGTGAACCGCAAACAAAGGTGCAGACAAGGGCGCAAACGCACGCACGCATGAACGCACGCACCGTCGATGGAGATGCCTGCGTCGTTGGCAAGAGCGAGCCAGGTGTGGGTGATGGTGGTGGCGGCGATGGTGCCGATGCGTTTCAGCTCATCATTCGATTGAGACAGCTGCCGTACACCCGGTGCAATGCAGAAGGGATTGTGGTGGTGTTGGTAGTGGTGGTGGTGGTAGTGAAACGGGTGAGAGACGCTCTTCATGGAAGGACATTATGTTAACACACCTTCCCCAACGCACAAGATCACACACACACACACACACACATTCAAACACACACACACACACACACATACACACACACACACACCATCTTCCTCTGAGGCCTGCGGCTGCGGTGCGCTGGCGGTCAAACGTGAGCGTGGTCAGGACAC